CACTAAACCCATGCTAAAAGAAACACTGAAAAGTCTACTCTAAATAGAAAAGAAAGCAGGATGCTACACAAAGGAGAAACTCATAACTGGAAAGGTGATAACTACTATGTATTACAAATAGAATAAACAAGAAATTGTAAAAGAACACATCTAAATCATTAAGAGTGGGAGAGGGAAGCAAGAAAATATACAGCATTTTTTTCTTACTTTTTAAAATCTTTTGTTTTCAGTAGGTTGGTTTTGAGATTATATTCCTATCTGTTTAACAAAACCAGTTATAGTAATGGGCTAATAGACCTACAAAAAAGGGTAAGCACAAGCCAAAAACTTACAACGGACTCACAAAAACTAAATACAATCCAAGATAATACAAAGGAAAATCACCGAACCACAAAAGGAGGAAGAAAGTAACAAAGAGGAAATAGCAAATCAACTGCAAAAATAAGTTCAAAATGGCAATAAACACACATATATCATTAATTACAGTAAATGTTAATGGACTAAATGCTCCAGTCAATAGAAATAGAGTGGTAGACTGGGTAATAAAGCAAGAACCTTCAATATGCTGCATACAAGGGACCCACTTTACAGAGAATGACACATACAGATTGAGAGTGAAAGGATGGAATAGGATATTCCATGCAAATGGAAAAGCCAAAAAAGCAGGTGTTGCAGTACTGATTTCAGACAAAATAGACTTTAAAACAAAGGCCATAAAGAAAGATAAAGAAGGACATTTTATAATGATTGAAGGAGTAATACAAGATGAGGTTATGACACTCATTAATATAAATACACCCAATATAGGACCACCTAAGTACATAAAACTACTACTAACAGAGATAAAGGTGGATATTGATGGGAATACAATCATTGTCGGACATTTTAACACCGCATTAACATCACTAGACATATCTTCAAAAAGAAACTAAATAAGGCAACAGAGAAATTAATTAATACAACAGAAAAATTAGATTTGATGGATATTTTCTAGCATTACACCCCTAAAAAATAGGATATACATTCTTTTCAAGTGCATATGGAACAGTTTCTAGGACTGATCATGTACTCGGGCACAAAAGAAGCCTTAACAACTTTAAGAAGATAGAAATTATCTCAAGCATCTTTACTGACTACAATGCCATGAAACTAGAAATCAACTACAGAGAAACAAAGGAGAATAAAAGGAAAGCATGGAGATTAAACAATATGTTATTTTAAAAAACAATGGGTCAATGATGAAATCAAAGTTGAAATTTAAAAATATCTTGAGACAAATTAAACTGAAAACATGATCACACAAAATTTATGGGACACAGCAAAGGCAGTGATAAGAGGAAAGTTTATGTGATACAGGCCTTCCTCAAAAAAGAAGAACAACCTCAAACAGACAGTCTAACCCACTAGCTAAAAGATTCAAAAAAGAAGAGCAAAAAACCCCAAAAGGCAGCAGAAGGAAGGAAACAATAAAGATCAGGGAGGAAATAAATGAAACAGAGATTAAAAAAACAATAGAAAAAAATCAATTAAACCAAAAGCTGTTTTTTTGAAAAAGTTAAAATCGACAAACCTCTGGTCAAACGCACAAGGAGGAAAAAAGAGAGAGCACAAATAAGCAAAATCAGAAAGGAAAATATAGAAATAACAACAAATAACATAGAAATACAGAATATCATACTTAAGAATATTATGAAAAACTACACGGAAAAAAATGGGTAACCTAGAGGAGATGGACAAGTTTCTGGAAACATATTGTCCACCATGACAGAACCAAGAAGAAACTGACCACTTGAACAAACCAATCACTAGAAACTGAAATCAAATTAGCAATAAAAATCCTCCCTACAAATAAAAGTCCAGGACCGGATGGTTTCACCGGGCAATTCTACCAAACATATAAAGAAGAACTCACACCAGTCTTTCTCAAACTCTTCCAGAAGATTGAAAAGGAGAGAACACTCCCAAACTCATTCTATGAAGCCACCATCACCCTGATATCAAAACCAGGCAAAGACACTACAAAAACAGAGGATTACAGGCCAATATCACCGATGAACATAGATGCAAAAATTCTTACCAAAATATTAGCAAATAGAATCCAACAACACATAAAAAAGATTATACATCATGATCAAGTGGGGTTCATCCCAGGGAAACAAGGGTAGTTCATCATAAGCAAATCAATCAATATAATACATCACATCAACAAGAGAAAAGGACAATAAACCACATGATCATCTCAATCGATGCAGAAAAAGCATTTGATAAAATTCAACACCCATTTATGATAAAAACTCTCACCAAAGTGGGTATAGAGGGAACATATCTCAACATAATAAAAGCTATATACAACAAACCTACAGCCAGACTAGTACTCAACGGTGAAAAACTCGAAAGCTTCCCACTAAAATCTGGGACAAGACAAGGCTGCTCACTATCACCACTCCTATTTAACATAGTCTTGGAAGTCCTAGCCACAGCAATCAGGCAAGAGAGAGAAATAAAAGGGATTCAAATTGGAAAAGAAGAGGTAAAAGTGTCATTACATGCCAATGACATGTTACTATATATAGAAAACCCTAAAAGGTCCACACAAAAACTACCTGAGCTGATCAAAGAATTCAGCAAGGTAGCAGGTTTCAAGATTAACATTCAAAAATCAGTGGCATTTCTTTACATTAATGATGAATCAACAGAAAAAGAAAGTAAAGAAATAATCCCCTTTAAAATAGCACCCAAAGTAATAAAATACCTAGGAATAAATAAACAAGGAGGTGAAAGAATTATACACAGAAAACTATAAACCATTGATGAAGGAAATTAAAGAAGACTTAAAAGAATGGAAAGAGATCACATGTTCCTAGACTGGAAGAACTAATATTGTTAAAATGGTCACACTGTCCAAGGCAATCTACAGACTTAATGCAATCTCTATCCAATTACCCAGGACATTTTTCACAGAACTAGAACAAATCATAATAAAATTTATAGGGAACCACAAAAGACCTAGAATTGCTAAAGCATTACGGAAGAGAAAGAAAGAGGCTGGAGGAATAACTCTCCCAGACTTCAGACAACACTACAGAGCTACAGTCATCAAGACAGCATGGTATAGGTACAAAAACAGACAATAGACCAATGGAACAGAATAGAGAGCCCAGAAATGAACCCACAAACTTTTGGCCAACTAATCTTTGACAAAGGAAGCAAGAATATACAATGGAATAAAGACAGTCTCTTCAGCAAACAGTGTTGGGAAAACTGGACAGCAGCATGTAAAGCAATGAAGCTGAACACTCCCTCACACCATACACAAAAATCAACTCAAAATGGATCAAACACTTAAACATGAGACACGATACAATAAACCTACAAGAAGAAAATATAGGCAAAACATTATCCGACATACTTCTCAAAAATGTTCTCCTAGGGCAGTTTACCCAAGCAATAGAAATAAAAGCAAGAATAAACAAATGGGACCTAATGAAACTCACAAGCTTCTGCACAGCAAAGGAAACCATAAGTAAAACAAAAAGATAACCTACGGAATAGGAGAAAATTTTTGCAAATCAAACTGACAAAGGCTTTATCTCCAGAATATATAAGCAGCTCATACAACTTCATAAGGAAAAAACAAACAACCTAATCCAAAAATGGGCAGAAGACATAAACAAGCAATTCTTCAAGGAAGATATTCAAATAATTAACAGGCACATGAAAAAATGCTCAGTATCACTAATTATCAGAGAAAAGCAAATCAAAACTACAATGAGGTATCACCTCACACCAGTCAGAATGGCCGTCATTCAAAAATCCACAAATGACAAATGCTGGAGAGGCTGTGGAGAACAGGAACCCTCCTACATTGCTGGTTGGAATGCAGTTTGTGCAGACACTGTGGAAAACAGTATGGAGATTCCTCAAAAGACTAGGAATAGACTTACCATATGACCCAGGAATCCCACTCCTGGCACATATCCAGAAGGAACCCTACTCCAAAATGACACCTGCACCGCAATGTTCATAGCAGCACTATTTACAATAGCCAAGACATGGAAACAGCCTAAATGTCCATCAACAGATGACTGGATGAAGAAGTGGTGGTCTATTTATACAATGGAATACTACTCAGCCATAAAAACCGACAACATAATGCCATTTGCAGCAACATGGATGTTCCTGGAGAATGTCGTTCTAAGTGAAGTAAGCCATAAAGAGAAAGAAAAATACCATATGAGATCGCTCATCTGTGGAATGTAAAAAAAAAACA